GAAATAAAAAAATACTCATTCACGTAGGTAACTAGGTATACTTATGAATCAGTTGAAAAGTAAAGACTCAATTTACATCTACTACCAGTTCTCAAATCAAGGGCGTAGAAAGAACGAGAAGAGCTGGCAAGAGACTCGCCGCCACTCCTTTTATCGCCAAGTTTAACTTTACTTAGTGGGACCAGTTATTATTTTAGAAAAAAATTCGCGTAAAATTTGTAAGACGTTATTTCTTGAGTTATTTTCACAAATTTAAATAAAAAAAAAAAACTTTTCTGTAACTATGTAGAAAAACAATCGGAATATGGGACACAAAATGGAAAGGTGGATTTACCCATGTAAGTTTCACGCTCTGGACCTGTTTTGCTTTGTACATTTGTAAAACCCCATATAAACCGAAACGCAAGTTCACACTTCACGGCGTTTTCATATGTGGATGGTGGTTCGCGACCCGGACGGAATTAAAATATCCCGACAGCTAAAAGCTTTCTGTAATACAATGTCCAGTAATTCGCTGAACATTTAATTAGTATATATGGGCGTCAATCAGTATTTTAATTATTGAACTATATAATAAATATTTAAATTTAGTGCTTGAATAATTATCATAATTATTAAACTGTTATTTACACAAATTCAATCTCTTTAAGACATTGTATTGACTATTTTGTAAACATTTGATTCGTAATATATTGTTTGAATGATTATCTTTGTAAATATATAACAAATATTCCAAGTAAAATAAGATTAATGTTATTACAACTCTATTTAATTATTCTTTTAAATAAAAGCTTAAATTGTTTTACGGCCAACTTGTGGCGCCATCTGTTGTACGTTTTTGTAATCTTATAGGGAAATGATTATTTATAGGATAAATGTAATTCATGTCAAATATTGAAATAAAACACTTTAACGGTTAAAAACGCGATATATTTTAGTTAAACGTGTTTGAAAATTATTTTCAAACTACGGCCCATACGTTTCGGATGCTTTACGGAGCCGTGACCACGGCTGCTGCATTAATATTTAAATGTGCACTACTAATAAAAAATAAATCATTTGGATGTATGTTAAATTAATACCAATATTAATTCAGAATATTCATCTTTATTTCAAGAAGTTGTGATTGCAATAACTTGTCTACGTTGCCTATAAATATCTGATTAATTGTAAAATACAGTGCAGTCGAATTCTGTAATTCGTGCAAAAATAAACGAAGCTGTCATCTGTGTGCGTTTATCATTAAGAACACAAACCTCTGGCCTAGCGCCGACATATACTTGGTGTCTGTGACATACACATTTGATTTTATAAATAAAAAAGTTATGTTAGCTAAATGCAAGACAAACTTGCATATTGCAGAAGGATTCTGCGATAAACGTTTCTGAAGTATTCGGACGCTTCACTCGTTATTTCAGTCCGGCCATTCATAAATTATTCTAACTCTAATAAAATCTACATAAAATCAAAATGCTATTCTAAGAAACGAGGAGCACAGTTAGAACCAGTTGGATAACGAACTCGCATTGATTTTACACCAATGAAGAATGTCTTTAGTGCTGACATTTATGAAACTCTTAGTACCTTTATGATAATTATTTGTTATTTTGGGATTTTGATAGTGTAGATTAAATAATCTATCAAACATCTATGGCTTACTGTACCACTAGAACTTTTCTTAACAGTTAACATTTGATACTGTCTATAGTCGAGACATCCTCCATCTTTAGTCTCCCCGTGACCACGGCTGCTGCAAAGCATCCGAAACGTCGGGCCGAAGTTAAAAATCATTTTCAAATAAGTTTAACTAATATATCGCGTTTTAAACCGTTAAAGTGTTTTATTTAAAAGTTAACATTTGTCTGACTTTAAGTTTCCGCCATTTGTCAACTGTTTTGGTCACTCTGTGTTGCCATTATTATGCAAATTTTGATTGCGCTTTAGCGTAAGAAGCTCGTAATAAGTGACGTCACCTGAAATTTTTATTAATACTTATCTCTGACCCTGTTTTGTAAAACTCCATCTACTTGTTGCTACTAAACTTTTGACTAAAAACTGTGTTACTATTTGACACAGCTACCGAAACGTGAAACAGATTTTGATTATTTCAGTATTAATTACACATGTCCTGTAGTTGGGAATTTAATCTAATTGAACCTATTCAAAAATTGTCCAAACTTAATTATTAATATTGTTTTTGAGTGTCCGTAATACAAAGACTTGAACCGGCATCAACTGCTGCTCTAACTAATTACCTCCTACAGTATCTTTCCCGCAATGTATTTACAACCTTAACATTCGCATAGTTAGGTTCAATGTGTTGGTTATAAGTATTGCGCAAAGTCATAGAATTAATAGATTAGACATACAATATATTAATAGAATAAAAGAGTATAATAAATTAAAATGGTATCAATGGATGGCTAATAATAAACGAGTCGCGGCTTCGAATCCAATATTTTTCTAATCATTTTATAATTATTCTGACATCTGTTGGATTTCGCCTGGAAACCTAGATATAGGTTACATATAATGGGTGATAGGAATATCGAAATTCCATGTGGTCACGAACCACCGTCAGTTACCACAGATAAAAAATCCGCGTTCGCGTTTCGGTTTAAGTCTGTGGTTTTCCCAATATCCAGAGCCAAAAGAGCTCGACAGCACGATTTGTTTCGATTTTATATGTCTGGGGTATTTCACCTTTCATCAAGTGAATCCCTATGCTTTTAAATAAAACACTTCAACGGTTTAAAACGCGAGATATTAGTTAAACTTATATGAAATGATTTTTAACCTTGGTCCGACGTTTCGGATGCTTTGCAGCAGACGTGGTCACGGGGAGACAAAAATCATTTCAAATAAGTTTAACTAATATATCGCGTTTTAAACCGTTAAAGTGTTTTATTCAAATGTGGACTACTCGCGTAAACTATAGACAATATTCCCTATGCTTTTCTGTCCTCTTAAACATAAAAAAGGAGCTGTGAAAAAAAATATTGAATTTCACAAAGGTTTCATTACTATTAAAATATCTAGAACCACTAAATAATATGGTGTAATTTGGATTTTACTATGAACTCTCCTTAACAAAATATAAAATATAATAAACAATAAACACACGAATATAAATTAGATATACTAAACAAAACTGACTTTGAAACGCCCTAGGCTCCAGCAGTGACCTATATATGTGTTTACTCCAACGCAAATAATGTTTACTCGAATACGTCTGTAACTTTGCAAAAGAGATGTCACGTGTCAATCACTCTAAGTGTTTCTTAAGAAATGTGTGAATTAAGGCCTCGACATTACATCTTTTATAATCATTGATATGTGTTGATGTGATGATGAGTGTTGTTGGTGATGGCTTAGAGCATTAATTATTACGACAATAATCTTGTCGTAATTTCTGATGCGGTATTTATTTATCAACAGAAAAAGTAAGCTGTTACCCACGACGTGAGTTGCGTCCGTCGTTCTTGCTAGTTAATCTTAAAAGATAGACATATATAAAAAAATGTCCCCAACACTATTTTTTTAGATCATTGAAAAATAAATCATTCTTTATTTTTGCTATCTTGAACCGTATACGCAGCGTACGCGTCGGAAATCCACAGAGATGAATAATTTTCCCAGTTTTTTCTATATATCCAGCTATCTCTTCGCTCTCATTGGTCACAGGTCGATCTTTTATAGCCTTTCTCGATAAATTTCCTAACCAATACAAAAAATGTTCAAACAAACAATATCCTCAGGTTTATATAATAGTATAGATGAATAACAAATGAAATATGTTCTTTCGAATTTACAGAAGGTTCGTTTACTAATACTGTCTCTAGTTTACGAGAGTAGTACACATTTAAATAAAACACTTTAACGGTTTAAAACACGATATCTTAGTTATATGTATATTAACTAATATACCGCGTTTTAAACCGTTAAGTGTTTTATTTAAATTCGTTTTACTGATTTTTTCACTACGATTCCCGAGGGGTTTTTTTCGGGATTCTCACCCAAGACCTCGAACGTTACGTAACTTTTTAATAATAGGCACCAATTTAAAATCGGAGGAATGAATGCGTAGCTAATTGCGTGGTTCTACGCCAACACTCGGATATTACGCGTTAGCAGCACTCAGATGTGATGCCGATTGCCAGTCACAGTTCCACTCGACCTTGCCACTCCTAAGACTTCCATTCAACTGAAGGCAATTTCACTTTTATTTAGATCGTACTGTAAAATTCGCTACGAATAGTAAAAATGTTTACAGCCTACGTTTAACCATTTGTAACTTGATACACATGCGGTTTTACTTATATACAAGAACTTTTAGGTCCTAAGAGATGCATTTTGTAGAAATTTCATTATTTCTCATTTTTTTATACTTTTTTTATGCAAGAAATCCTCTATTTCCTTAAAAAAAACATTACCCTTTTAGAAAAAACTTTTGATAATTGTCTCTTGTCAAATTCTAATATCCTTAAATAACAATCTCTTTCAAGCATCTATGAAAGAGCAATTTTGCCAGTCCGTTGATTCCTAGTCCATCAATCATGACGGATTAAGAAAAAATCGATTACAACATTTTAAAGAAATTTCACATTCGATATAAAGAAAGAAGAATCTTTCGGCTTTATAATTTCAACTTTATTTCACAAAAAAAATTAAAGGCTTTCATAAATTAAAACACTTTACTACTACTACTAACTAATAAAATTACTTAACTTAAAAATATTTAATAATTTGTGCAAGGGTTTTACGGGTTCGGTTCAGCATATCATTGTTTTTCGGGCTGTTCGGTTGACGAAGAAATAAATCTTCGAGCAATCTAGGCGCTCACATGATCCTCGCGCGCTCCTGATGACGCACTCCGATCGTGATAGGGAAACGTCGAGAACCTGATATGTTAAAAAAAAATTGGATATCAATTGCAATGAGAGTTACTAAATGTTTAATATATTTTATTATGTTCGTGATTTAGTTAAAATACTTTACAGATACGAAACTTACAAAGCTACGTTGAAGAAGATCCCGGCTACGCGTCTGTCCCGGCTGACGGAGGCCCTGGCGAACTACGACCCCGTCCTCAACGAGTACTTCTTCGATCGCCATCCGGGGGTCTTCGCCCAAGTGCTTAACTACTACAGGTACGTTTGAAAACTTTAATAATTTTTACATGTTTTCTCATTGCTCATGATGGCACTATATAATTTAAAAATCGAAAATAAATTGAAAAAGTTTTCGACTCGGGCAGGACTTGAACCGGTATCGTCAGCGTTCCGTGCTGTTGCTCTACCAATTGAGCTACCGAGTCGAATTGGTAGAGCAACAGCACGGAACGAAGAGGATGCTGGTACAAGTCCTGCCCGAGTCCACCACTGAGACCACCCATTTAAAAAAAAGATTTGCATACGAAGTTCAACATGTTTCAGAAAAAATATAAAGTGATTACAAACATGTATAATTTGATTAGGTAAATATTGGACCCGGTCCCCACACATGACCCGTTGATTAAAAGCCATATATTGCTAGCGAGTAGCGATGTGCCTACCAGCGAACCTGTCAAAACATACAACCCACCGCACTTGGCATGGGTCGTTACCTTTTCGTGGGCGTTTCACTGATATTTTTTTATTTAAACACCAGCGGTCTGATAAGTAATAAAATAAAGTAAATTCGTCATAACATGAAAAGTAAAATATTTATACATGAAAAAAAAATTTGTTAGCTGTAGACAAACAAAATTTCGTACATTGAATGTTTATTTATTAACACTTTATTGTACAAAAGAAAAGAAATACAAATGAGATTATATACCAAAAATATGGAATGCAATGGGTGGCCTTATCTCTAACAAGCGATCTCTTGCAGACAACCCAAAATGAAAAAACATGTGTAATTATTAGAAAATGCTTGTAAGGGAGCCTTTTAAAAGTTATCTTCACCATAAATATACAAAAGGAATCTTGAAATAAAATAAAATAAACAAAGCATTGCGGAATTTAAATTTACAAACACAACACTTAAGGATTTAATAATGTTTAACATTCAAAAAAGCTTATAACTGTCAGCGAAAGAAAAAAAGCTGCTATCAACTAACGTTGGCTATTGTTAAAACTTCTTTTAAATAACGTCTTACGTAATTTTAAATATGTGTATGTAGACATTCGAAGGCAGGATCGTCAAATGTTTTTTTAAGCCGCATGAGTTTGTATACAAATACATTTTCCTTTGACGTCCCAAACCCTTCAAGTGATTTAATAAAGTACAGTTCAAAGCAGCGAAGAATTGTGATGGAAAATGCAAGTCTTGATACTTCTCATCCCTTATGTGTCCGAGAACCTCTAGTGTGTACGCACACAGAATATTAAAGACGGAGTAACAAACCTTTGGTACTTTTGCGGAATGACAATGATGTTTGTATACTATTTGGTTTGTTAGTACAAAATGCACTTAATATGAACACAGAAACAAGTTAAAACCCCGTGTCTCCATCATGGGGCATGGGGCAGATATTCTGTATGTTTCACGTTTTAATATTACGGAGAATCACCCCTGAATACTGCTGTAAAGCTAAAACGACAAGTTGTAGTTAAAAATAAATGATAATTAGTCTGCGTTTTAAACCATTGATTTTATTAGGAAAGTTCTTAGTATGCAATACATCTGGATAAAAATCGATATCATTATTAAAAAGGATTAGAATAGTCTTGCATGTAAGATGTTATATTGATGTCTGCTATAGTTTGATTCGTAGGAGTTTCTACGAAATGCCCCTACTACTTAGTGTTATCTATTTATTATGACACTAGTTATTACACTATCAATAGTTTTATTTATATACATAACAGAAATACCAAAAGGATACAATTTTATATTGTTGTTATAGCAAATACATATATATATATATAAGGATATCTATATATATATATATATATATATCCTTTTAAAAAAAAAGAAGCGAAGAAGAGTTATTTCAAACGAGCTGCATAAAACATAATAAAATTTTTACACAAAGTTCACAGATCCTGTTAAAACATGAAAAGTTGCCAGTTCATTATATTTATCTCGCGAAAATAACACGGTGTTACCAGATTTCATCTCTCCACTTTGTTTACTGACTCGAAACAAAGTTATCAAACTCAGTGGGGTTGCCAGCTTTTATGTCCGATTGTATCGTGACCAGAATTTAATGCGTGATGTTTTATTGGTGAAATAAAAATGAGTGCATAGTTACTATTGTATTTTGGTGTTAGGACTGCTTTAACCTTTAAATACAGTCAATATTAAAATACATCACTAGTAAAAACGCGAAATTTATTAGTAAAACTTATTAACTAATTATTTTAATTACGCCCCCACGTGCTGACATTCAAGCAGTCGTGGTCCCGGGGAGACTATAGAAATTGAAGGTGTCTCATGTCAAAGTAAAAGCTGCTACGCTCGCGCCATCTGTTCCGTCGTAGTTAGTATTTGGCGAAACTAGTCGGGTCCTTACAAAAATTACTATCAGTGTCCTCGCGTCCTCGTGTTTTTAACTATATACCTATATATAAAATTACGTTTTACCAATGCAATGTTTCTGATCAATTGATCAAACAAAACAATTGAACATAGTTACGTATTAGTTAAATTTAACTAATACGTAACTTTGTAAATATAAAGGTTTCAAATTGCAACTTAACTGTCCCAAAGACCAATGTTTACATTGTTTAAAATCCACAGCACGAGAGTATCTATGGCTGGAGATATTTAAATTAATTATTTTTGTTATAATTTAAATCATTTGCATTGGTATACTCTGATAAACTGATAATTATAATTATGTATCTGAAAATATTTACATATTTAAACATTTCTAATCTTAGTAAAACAATAAATAAGGAGAGACGATTTGGTTCTTCATAGAGCTCTTTCAATATATAAATAATCTATGCTTTAACAACAGCAAAAAGCAAAAAGAACCAAAGATTAATTAAACATTTAAATGTACCGTGGGATGAAAATGAAATTCTCTTGTATAAATCTTTCATTTTTATTACATTTTAAGGCAAAAAAAGGCCTGAAACAACGGCCGCTTTTGCAGACGTGACTCGAATTAAGTAACGCTTATGTATTATTTATCTCAATTGAAAATCGTATCTAAGAACAACTTCTGATTTAAAACAGCGACAGAGTACTTTATCGTTAAATATTTGTTAGTCTGTTTACGACATATGACAGCTTCTGTAGTTAACTGGTTAAACGTCTTGCTTTGCGGTAAGCGGAAGAGGTCCTGATTTTGAATCCCGGGGAAACCATAGATTCTGTCGGTCCGGCGGGGCACGAAAGTCTGATGAACTTGCCTATAAATAAAATTGTGCAGTGAAACCACATTTAATGGGTTCGCCCCATGCCCCACAAGGGTATACGTGATATCACTTTTTTACTTGTCATTGAAACGGATACAGAGATGTATGTCAAATGCCCCATAGGGGTATTTGACTTTGTTACAATATTTGAATATCAAAGTTTTTATAACTTTTAATAGAACCGCTACGCTTATTATCAGTATATTGTTATTCTTACTAGTTTTAAATAGTCTTAGTTATATACAAAAATAATTTGGTATGTATTGTTGCCCAAAAAGGCCGCACAAATAAATATTACCATTAAAGAGGATGTAAGACTGATCCCGTAAAGCGATTAAACTTTTTTCATTTGAGGACGGTGGTTCATGATGTTTTATATCCAGATTTCCAAAAGAAGTGCAACATGTTTCTTAAAAATAATAAATCTATTAGAAAAGTAACGGACCTTGTCAAGATCGAACCCATGATCTATCGACTATAAGCCACACATTGCCACCATTACACCAATGTGCACGCCAAATATCGCCGTAATGTGCCACGTAGAAGATTGCCCTCTTGTACAATGTATTGCCCCTAAAAAAGCGTCAGTTTGAGTAACGTGTGGTCACCCCAGCTATTTATATAGCCGCATCAAAACTAAGTTGCTAAGCCGCTTTCACAGTTGGCGATTTGAAGAAAATCGCTCGTAAAGTTGGCGTGTTTATAGTTTTTGGTTACAGTTAACACTAACGCGATGTCGATACGTGATTTATACTTTATTGTGGTATTTTATGGAATTAACAATATAAATAAAAGCGGCCAATGGTGAGTTAAAAAGTGACATACATTTCACAGTGCAAACATCTTTACTCATATAAGTTACTAGTTGTGTCAGCGATTTAGTCCACGTAGAATAGTTATTTTGGACATCAAAACTTGTTTTTACAAACCTCCTCATGTTTAAAAGGGACCTATAGCTGTTACTCACGACGACGGTCGCGTCCCATCGTTCTGCCAAGTTGTTCTTAAAAAATGGACAAATACTGTCGTACATATTTCTTTAGATCGTTTAAAGAATAATCATTTTTTCATACATACGCTTCGTATCTTAAACCGTTTTCGAAACGCATACATCGAAATCCCTGAAAGCTGAATAATTTTTCCCGTTTCTGTAACATTTTCCACTGTTTCTTCGCATGGTCGCGATCGTGATGTTCTATAAAGCCTTTGTCGATAACTTTTCTAATCAACAAAAAATCGAACCATTAGTTCCTAAGATTAGCGCTGGCAAACGAATAAACTTCAGCTTTATATATAAGTATAGATATAAATAAATCTTTCGGAACATTTTCAATTTCGGGATAAATAGTATTTATATCTAAAATGAAATATCTTTGAAGCACAGTATTCTACTAGATTCAAGAAATTTCCTGTCGACCAAAAGATAATCAAATTTAACCAGCACAGCAGCGCAACAGCCGTACCAAGTTTGCAGGGAAATTGAAGACTAAATAAAAACTGAGCAATCCAGCGATGCTTACTAAATATTCTATTTGAAATCGTATTTCGTTTCTTTATGATAGAGAAGGATAGAAAAGCAAGCGGTTCACTAGGAGAATTACCTCGCCCATACAGTGTTTACACAAAATGCGTTGGCTTTGGATATTCGGAAATCTCACAGACTGAAAAGCGAAACATCAAGGCTTTTTCATCTGTGGACGGCGTTTCGTAACCTGAATTTCCCGCCCATGATCACATTCGTCCCGCCCATGTTATCGATTTTTTTATCTATATTAGTTAAACTTATTTGAAAATAA